GGCAAGGTTGCATTGTGCTGGGGAACGTTAATACATAGACTATGGTAAGGGGTTAAAAAGGAACAGTCAGTACGGAAATATAGCAGCTGCCATTGCTAAATTGTATTTGAAGGTCACGAATCCAGGGAGATTAACACTACCAATGCTTTGCCACTTAGGGATCACCAACCAGGAACAAGCATGAAGTCATTCATGTCATTAAGTAGTAAAGGAAAGATTGGGATGGCAGTCTGGGAGATTCTTGCAAGAACCACTCAGCAACGGCAGCTTCCATATTACTAGGGATGCAACGATACCACTTTTTTAAGACCGAGTACGAGTACCGATACTTTTGATCAAGTACTCGCAGATACCAATTACCGATACTTTTTCTTAAAGGGACAGGTCACATTTTTTCTAAAGCAATACAAACGAATGCTTTAAGGTCACTTTCTTAATATTATGATTCATGAGATGACGAGGGAACACGACGCCGGCTTCCCGGCCAATCAGAATGCCGGGCGCTGCGTCATTACACGGCGCCCGGCTTCCGGATTTGCTAGCTTCCTGACCAATTGGGAAGCCGGGCACCGCGTCATTGCACGCTACCCGGCTTCCTGATTGGCCGGGAAGCCAGCTCCATGCTCTCTCATCACAAGTGACGAGAGAGCATGGAGCCATTTCCTGGCCAATCAGGAAACCGGGCAGCGTGTAATGATGCGCTGCCCGGCTTCCTGATACAGGAAGTACTCGTGCTAGGTATCGGAGCATTTGGGCGAGTACGAGTACTCACCCAAATACTCGGTATCGGCACCGATACCGATACTAGTATCAGTGCATCCCTACATATTACCATACCAAACGACTTACAGAAACAATTCTATTAACCTTTGCAGTGGGGCTAGCCCAGCACTGCAAGGGTTAACCGCTCATTTTCACCTAGGGACTAAAATAAAAAATAGTTATACACACCCGAACCTCAGAGCCGGCCAGCTGTTACTGTGCTCCCTCCAGAGTTGGTATGTCCCTCGGCGTCCTCGCATCCTATACACAGTCTATAGAACGTGATGACTCGGGGACCTTAGACGTGCTGCAGCGGAGGGTGACCGACGCTGAAAGCACCGTTCTAACAACAAGCTGGCTTGGAGGATCGGGTGAGGATAACTTTTTTTACATTTTAGTCTCTAGTTGAAAATAAGCGGTTAACCCTTCAGTGAGGGGGTAGCCCCACGGCAAGGGTTAATATTTCTCTTTTTTCCCCCAACGGAGTCTTTAAAAGAAATCTATAACGAGGAACATACGAAGGCTGCGATTGTTGAAATGTCAGATGCCTAGCTGCGATACTAATCCTCTGGCCTTAAAGCATCGGAGTCATTAACCAAGAACAACTGTGCAGCGATTTTATGTCATGTATATTTGTTTACTGTCAGCCACTCAAAGAATTTAAAAACAGGTTCACTTCAATCCCAAAAGCCTGCAGCTCAACAAATATAGACAAGCCTGCCATTATCTTTGTTAGCCATTTAAACCTCTAAGGCCTCATTCACACTGCCGCGCGTATTGTACCATATGCAACACATGCAAATAAATGGCTCCATACACATAGCCGCCTATGGAGCCGTATATTTGCGTAGCGTATATATGCGCAAAAACAGAATGGAACAGAGATGCGTCCAGGCAGCGTATTGCTGCGTATTTACGCGCACATACGCGTGTTTACATGCGTACAGCACATTAAAAATTCCATTACGAGTAATGCATTCTGGGATTGCATATAGTGCACGCATATACGCACGTATATGCGTATAAATACGTGCGTATACGCACGTACATACGCGCATATACAATTTTGCTCTTGCGTTGTGTGTGACTGAGGCCTAAAACTGGTTTCGCTATGTTATTTTAGGACTAAGCCTTGCCAGCTACCATTTCCCTGTCTATCTAGCATATCCCCTACTAGTCCCTAAAGGCATAATGACTAAAGGTGGCCATACACTTTACAACCCTCGCAAGGCTTTTGTCCTGCGAGGGTTGTGAAGTAATTAAAAAAAACGTACGATCTGCCCATCTTGGACAGGCAGATCGTACTTGCGATCATCGCAAGCCCGCCTCCCTGAGCGGCGGGCCTGCGATGACGGGCGGGCTTCCGATGACTGCAAACGGGCAGTGTGCGCGTGTGCACACCGGCCCGTTCGGCAGTTGTCGAACAAGCAGGCCACTAACACGCTGAGAATCGTACGATTCTCGGCGGGTTTTCCAGCCTGCTTGTTCGAAGGAAGACGCGCGACCGTACAGTAGAAACTGTTGCACGCCTTCCATACACTTTGCGATTATCGTACAATCGCGGGATTTCACCGCGATTCTCGTACGATAATCGTGCAGTGTATGGGCACCTTTAAAAAGAGGGAGAAGCAGTTGGCCTAGTCCTGAAGTTGGGGAGCTAGAAAAAAAAAAAAGCAAAGCTACTTTCAAAGAGGCACAGGGGGGTCTTTTTTGGCCAACAAAAGGTAAGAACAGTTGTTCTAGATAATATATTAACAATCAAAAGAGAGAAGGAGAAGTTCTTACCCAGCACCCAGAAAACAGCAGCACCGGCCCCAGCAAGCCAGAAGAAGGGGAAGGAGACAGCCCCAGCCAGGCCGTACTGATTGGCCATACTCAATTCCCGACCTGTAAGGAGAGGACAGTTACTGCAAGAATATAGTGTAAATAATACATGAAAAGATAGCTAATAAATAAATATATGTGTATACATACTAGGGATTTTATTATTATAGGTATTTATATAATGCCGACAATTTACGCAGCACTTTACATAGTTGCACATTCACATCAGTCCCTACCCTCAAGGAGCTTACAATCCCTATAGGTCCCTATCTCACATGCATACATACAGGACCAACTTAGAGAGGAGCCAATTAACCTTCCAGTATGTCTTTGGAGTGTGAGAGGAAACCAGAGTACCCGGAGGAAACCCACACAAGCACAGGGAGACCCCTTGCAGATGGTGACCCTGGCTGGGATTTGAACTGGAGACCCCTAGTGCTGCAAGGCAGAAGTGCTAACCACTACGCCACTGAGCTGCCCGATACTAGTATAGGTATCGGTGCCGAGTATTTGGGCAAGTACTCGTACTCACTTGGTGATGAGGCAGCATGGAGCCGGCTACCCGGCCAATCAAGAAGCCAGGCAGCATGAAATGACTCACCGCCTAGCTTCCTGATTGGTAGGAAAGCTGGCCAATCAGGAAGCTAGAGGGCAGGTCATTCCCTGCCCCCCAGCTTTCTGACTGGCCAGAAAGCCATCTCCATCCTGCCTCATCACCTGGTGACGAGGGAGCATGGTGCCGGCTTCCCGACCAATCAGGAGGCTGGGCGCCGTGTAATAACTCGTTGCTCGGCTTCCTGATCGGCCAGCTTCTCGACCAATCAGGAAGCCGGGCCACGAGTCATTACTCGCGCTCGGCTTCCTGGCTGGCCAGAAAGCCAGCTATATGCTTCCTCGTCACCTGGTGACAAGGGAGTATGGAGACGGCTTCCCTGCTAATCGGGAAAGTCAAGTCTTTACACGCCGCCCGGCTTCCTTAGTGGGATTTCTGGTATCGATAAGTACTGTAAAAAATATAGATCGGTACTCATACCCGATACCGAAAAACCAGTATCGGTGCAACACACACACACACTTGTAGGAGCTTACATAGGCTATAAACTCCTTCCTTGCACCCATGTGAGAGCACTGGGCCAATCATGAAGCACTGGTGCCGGCAAATGGGAGAGAAGCAGTGAGCAACATACTCACTCATACCTAAAAATGCCGGCTATTTCACTTCGCTCATTAGCGATGGCTGAACGGATGTGTGATTGTATCAATGTTCCAAAAAAAGGACAGTGAATGCAGACCAATCATGGCACAAGAATGAGCATATCACCTGCTTTTGTATAAATATACCACTATACAAACCACTACCATATGTGGTTATACATATACCACTGTACAAATATACCACTAGAGACTTGTCTCTATATTCCCTATCAAAGTCACGTGATCATCTTTTTCTCCTATCACAGAGAGTTCTCCGCAGCATTATGCATACAACACTCCGTAGGACACCGCACTGCATTGTATGAATGAACGGTAGACGCAGGTCAATCACTGTGGTGCCCAGCAGATGGCGGTATCCTCTCTCCGTTATAAATATCCCCCATATTGTTCTGCATTGGAAAAGATAAATGTGCAAAATCCCGGGCTGAATTACAGTTTATTTATTTTGTCAGCTTACAAATGATGTGCACGCAGCAGGGATTCTGAACAGAACACGACAGATCTGTTATGGAGGTGACAGCACAACTTACCGAACAGAACCATCTTGGACTGGAGAGCTTTCAGGTAAACGATGTAACAGGCTCCAAAGAAAACAGCCAGGGCAACGAGCAGCATGGGGCTGGTGATGCTGTGAAATCAGAGAGGAAGGTTAGTTAGTTGTATTCCTGCTGGTCTCAGGTCTCTGGGGGTTGGAGTGTTAAGATCACTTCTGCTGGTGCCCCCCACCTCTAAAATGAATAAAGATTTCTCCTGCAGTATCTTCCACAATGTATAATAAATGAAGATTCCAATAAGAAGAATGAGACCTATGTCTGTAGAATGTGGTCACACCATGGAGCTGAGCAACAGCTAACTGGTTTTAAAGGATGAGTGCACTTGTCCTTTTTGCTCCCCCTTCCCCTGACCTAATCTAACCCACCCTCCCTTCCTCCGCCACCACAGATACATGCTTACCTCGGTCCAACGGCTGCCGTTGTGATGTTTGTTTACATCCAGTGCTGTATTTACTGTACTGGCCATGCCTGCACATTACAGCCCCATATACTTCAATGGGACTGTCTCCTGTTGTCTTGGGCCAGATGCAGCTAACACAGTGAAGACTTACACCATTGGATGTAAACAAACAGCAGGACCATGGCTGCCTGATCATGCGTCTGTGGAGAGGGCAGGTGAGTTGGGTTAGAATTAAGGGGTTAAAAGGATAAGTGCCCTTAGCTTTTAAAGAGACAGTGAATATGCACGTCAGGCAAAAGGGACAGTGTCTACGCAGATCCCCCCACCATGTCAGAGCTCCCCCCCACGGCAGCTGAAAATACTACCCAGCCCTTATGGATATGAAGGAGCATGTGATCTCTTCCCCTGTGACAATGCTTAGGCCTAACCCCCGTAAGACCCCCACCTTCTCAGTGCTCCCCCATGGCAGCTGGAAATACTACGCAGCCCTTATGTATATGAAGGAGCATGTGGCCTCTTACCCTGTGACAATGCTTGGGCCTAACCCCTGTAAGCCCCTCACCTTCTCAGTGCTCCCCCGCGGCTGCGGGAAATACTACCCAGCCCTTATGTATATATGAAGGAGCATGTGGCCTCTTCCCTGTGACAATACTTGGGCCTAACCCCTGTCAGCCCCTCACCTTCTCAGTGCTCCCCCCCCGCGGCAGCTGGAAATACTACCCAGCACTAATGGATATAAAGGAGCATATGATCTCTTCCCCTGTGACAATTCTTAAAGGAGAACTATGAGGTGAGTGCTTTTCACTCACCTCATAGTTCTAGCCGACCTGTGACAATGAGACTGTCACAGGTCGGCTCAGTAGATCGGGAGGTGAGCAAACACATACCGGCGTTCGCTCACCTCTCGATCCTGTCACGGCTCTCTGCCATGACAGGGGCTGGATCCCCCCCTCCCCGCTCCGATCCGCCAGCGCTGACTGGCGGAACGGACGGGGGAGGGGCGGGTACAGCTGGCTCTGCCTCTAGATAGGCAGAGCCAGCTGACAGTCACGCAGCTGGGCAGATCCCGGCACAATTGTCGGGATCCGCTTCAGCTGCGGCATCTCACCGTGAGCAGTAGCTATACTGAGCCTAGGGTGACGGGAGGACGCTAGTTTGTGTCCTCCCGTTACCCTAAGGAGAACTATGGGGAAAAGCTTTAACCCTATAGTTCTCCTTTAAGCCTAACCCCCGTAAGCCACCCATCTTGTCAGTGCTCCCCCAAGGTAGCCGGAAATAATACCCAGGCTTATGAATATGAAGGAGCATGTGACCTCTTCCCCTGTAACAATGCTTGGGCCTAACAGCCAATCACTAAGCCCGAGCATTGTCACCAGACTGAGGGAGTGACATTACTGGTCTGGTCTAACGGTACAGTATAATGTGTCTGCTGCTAAGAGTCGGGCAATGACAGAATCCCCCCCACCCGACAATAACACATACTCACTTATCCTTTACTGCCCTCTGCGCCATTCAGCTGCCAAGAATAAGGAAAAGAAATCCGTGTAAACTCGAAGTCTGACCTTACACTGGGCTGAGCACTACCTCCCCACCCCATATGACAATACTGCCAAAAGAACCAGGCACTTCTTTTAAAGTCTCAAATAACACTCGATTGGCATCAAACGTTTAAATGGCGGCTGTAGACAGCAAAGCGTAAGCTGTACAGCCAGGTAAATGACACCCAGGATGTTTTGTATAAGAGCTAAAATGACATTGAGAGTAGCTCTCAAACACTCACATGCAGTACAGGATGAGGCCCAGGAAAACGAAGATGTAATTGCTCTGGAAGTGTTCCACATTCCGCGTCACCCGCTTACACAGCTCGCCGAAGTTCTGTGGCCGGGAGAAGCGCCTCTGGTCGACAAAGTTGTTCCATGGGCGGATGTGAGCCCGGCGTCTGTCAATCCAGTCCTTGGCTGTGCTTGGACTGATCATCTTGGGAAAAAGCCTGCCGAAAAAGCAGCAAAAGGTGAATAAGAGAAGAAGAAACGCTTCTGGATGGACGGATGTACCTGGTGTGTGAAGCAGAACTAAACCCACCAACCTTACTGGCTCGCTAAAGCAGCCACATTCAAGGCATGCCTCTGGTGAGAACTGTTGCCAGTGTGCACATGTCAGCTCTTAAAGTGGATCGTTACACTCAAAATCAAATGCATCCCTCTATGTATGATGATTAATAATAACATAGACATGTCAGGTGTAAAATGCTGTGATTGTGAAATACTGACACTTGCAGAGCATTCCCTTTCTGCTTTGAAAGTGCAAATAACTTCAGTTTGCCAAAGCAATGCACACTGGGATTGCCTTGTCATCAGCAGATCATTGCTGGGAAATCTCACGAGATCTCAGGGAAAGGCATTTTCCTCCCCTGAGATGCTGTGCATGGTCACATGTCCTAGTCACATGTGCCAGAAATCAAGGAAGTAAAAGGAGAGCTAGTAGCCTGCCCTCAGTAAACATGGCCACCGCCAGAAGACTGGGGAAGAAAAGAGAAATAAGCTACGCAAAGAATACAAAGCCGGCAATGATCTAGAAGTATGTGTTTGTAGATTGTCATCACTAAACATTTCTAAAGATGTCTTTGTCGTTATTTTAAAAGGCAAGGGTAAAGGTCTCCTTTAACCAAACTTTCAAGCCCTTAAATGGCTGGTGTCATAGCTGATCACATGTGCAGCACCATGGCTACTGCAGATCTAAACAGAGGCTAAGATGGCACCTTCCTCGGCTGTAAAGGATAGGAGGGTTCAGTTTTACTTTAAAGGAGAACTATGGGGTTATACTGAGACTCCGCAGCTGAAGCGGATCCCAAACAATTGTGCCGGGATCTGCCCAGCTGCGTGAGTGACAGCTGGCTCTGCCTATCTAAAAGGCAGAGCCAGCTGTACCCGCCCCCTCCCCCGTCCGATCCGCCAGTCAGCGCTGGCGGATCGGAGCGGGGAGGGGGGAATCCAGCCCCTCCCCTGTCACAGCAGAGAGCCGTGACAGGATCGAGAGGTGAGCGAACGCCGGTATGTGTTCGCTCACCTCCCGATCTACTGAGCCGACCTGTGACAGTCTCATTGTCACAGGTCGGCTAGAACTATGAGGTGAGTGGGAAGCACTCCCCTCATAGTTCTCCTTTAAGGACCTTAAAAGCTGAATTTAGAGAGATGGCTCAGTGACCATACATACTAAAGATCTTTAAAGTTAAATAAAACTTTATTTACAAGAAATGACCACTTTTGTTACAAATGTTTGGCGACTTTATGGAGGTGCGGCTGGAGATGCATCAAATACAGAAACAGATGGTACAAGAAAATCACAATCAGAAACATTGCCTTGTACACAAAGTTAGAATAGAAGATAGAATGTAACTGTCTGTGAAGCTTCTCATTCTTCCAGGTCATGGTATATCTGTAAAAAAGAAATCAAGGCAACTGGACTTTCTGTATTTTTCTTGAAGTTGTTTCACTGGTTATCCGACCAGCTTTCTCAATTCAGAGACAGAATTGAGAAAGCTGGTCAGATGGCCAGTGAAACGTCTTCGAGAAAAATACAGCAAGTCCAGTTGCCTTGATTTATTTTTTACAGATATAGAATGTAACTGTATAATATACCATATATGTAATAGTCTCTCACAAGTCTGTGTCCCTTTCAAGAAGATTTACTTTTACATTCTGCCCTGGTAGCAGGAAAATGAGCAGAAATCTTACATATACAGTCATCTCACGACCTGCCGACTCTGCATACCATGGCTTCCTCGGGCTTGCAATGAGAAAATCCTGCATGCAGGGCCTTCTCATTGCAGGGGTACATTGAGCAGCGGGCTGTGGTTTGGGGCATGTGGTTGGAACTAAAGTGTGACTCCAGGACAGTGTCACTTTAATGCTCTGAGCCTGAGGTCATTCTAAGCCTGATGAAGGGGACCCTGTGTGGCCCCGAAAGGCTTGTACTGGAATGACAGTACTCCATTAATAAATTGACTTTTGCCGATTTCACTTAAATGGTGTGCTGGTGACATCTTTTTGCATTCTTGTTGCAAGGGTCGATCTACAGCAAGCTGCGTGCTGTGGTTTGGGGCATTTGGAACTAAAGTGCAACTCCAGGACAATTTCACTTTAAAAATGAGAATTATGAGGTGAGTGATTTTCACTCACCTCATAATCTGAGCCGACCTGTTACAATGAAACTGTCACAGGTCGGCTCAGTAGATCGGGAAGTGAGCGAACGCATACCGGCGCTCGCTCACTTCTCGATCCTGTCACTGCATAGAGCCGTGATAGGGGAGGGACTGGATTCCCCCCTCCCCGCTCTAATCCTCCAGCGCTGACTGGCGGAACGGACGGGGCGGGTACAGCTGGCTCTGCCTCTAGATAGGCAGAGCCAGCTGTCACTCACGCAGCTGGGTGGATCCAGACAGAATTGTCTGGATTCGTTCCGGCTGTGGCGTCTCAGTATACCGTGAGCTGTAGCTCGCGGTATACTGAGCCTAGGGTGACGGGAGGACGCTAGTTTGTGTCCTCCCGCTACCCTTAGGAGATCTATGGGGAAAAGCCCTGACCCCATAGTTCTCCTTTAATGCTCTTTGGCAAATGCTACAACTGAAGAAGCTAAACTCTGGAAATATTTTAAATACCTTGTGTCTCCCTCCTTCCCCACACTGCAAGGGTTAACTGTTCTGTTCACCTCTTCTCTGTGACACTCCGGGTTGTGGATGGACCCTCACATACGATGTGGGCTTCCACCTGTGCACTGTATGTGTTGATGTCAGAGTGTGACCACACGCTAGAGTGCTGAAGAGAAGAGGCTTTGGGGGACGAGTTGCAATTGCCAGAGTGAGGAATCGGGTAAGTATTATCGCTTATTGCCCTTCCCCTAGACTTAAATTGCAGGTAACCCTTGCAGTCCGGGGGAGGGGAGATGGAGTAGGGGTGGACTGCAAGGGAATTTTATGTTAAAGAAAAATCTGGAAAAATTCCCATTCAGTTACCATATTCTGAACTCTGTATAATCCAATGCAGCCTGGTTTTCCATTATTCCTCTGGGGCGGGCATTTACTCCAAATGGGGCGGGCATTTACTCCAAATGGGGCGGGCATTTACTCCAAATGGGGCGGGCATTTAGAAAAGCTTTGAAGCAGGTCTGAATCTGTTTGGTGGTTGTAGAAAACTTCAGGATTTCTATATTCTATAGTATGGGGGTGTCTGGGAATAGCGCAATAGATTTATCTGCCTTATTTTTGGCCGGGTACAGGTCAGCTTGTCCTCAGATGAATGCGTCATGATCATATACCAAGATGTAACGATGTGAATGATTAAACAATGGTTAGTCAGTCAGAAAGCCTACTTGTTAATAATTCCAGCAGGTCCCTCTTCTGCTCCTCCATTTAACACCTCCCCATTCTTGCCTGCCATGTTTAGGTGTCCTGGTAATACTGAGCCTCCTGTGAGAGGGATAGAGAAAAAACAAAGAGCTGAACTCCAGGCAAACAGCTAAATACACAGATGAAACACATATATGAGGGCAGTGTACCCTGCCAAAGGAATTGCATATCTCTCTATTCAGGCCTGAGACTTGCACAGCTCCGCCACATGGCACAGCCAGGTGGATGACACCACTTTTTCTATTACAGTTATTAGGGATGCACTGATACCGGTTCTTCGGTATTGAGTACCGATACTTTGCTTTCAGTACTCGTCGATACTGAATACTGATACCGGTGCTTCCGCTGGCATAGAGCCGGCTTCCCAGGCAACATGATTGCCCGAGAAGCTGGCTCCATGTTGTCTGTCCGGCTTGATTAGCTGGGAAGCCGGTTTCCCAGCCAATCAGGAAACCAGGCGGTGAATATTGATGCGCCACCCAATTTTCTGATTGGCCAGGAAGCCGGCTCGATGCTGATTGGCAGGGAAGCCATTTTCCCGGCCAATCAGGAAGATGGGAGGCGGGTCATTACTCGCTACCCAGCTTCCTGATCGCCCTGGAAGCCGGCTCCATGTTCCCCTACGGCACTGCCTCTCAGAGGAAATCTTCCTCTGACCGGAAGTTCCAGTATTGGAGCATTTGATCGAGTACTCCCCCAAATACTCTGTATCGGTGCATCCCTAACAGTTAGGGCTCAGTCACACTATATGCAGTGCGTTCCGGCCCGATTTTGGCCGGAACGCACTGCCTCGCATTGCGGCCGGCTCACTTTTTAGTGGGGCAGGAGGGGGCGTGGCGGGCCATTCAAGTGAATGGTGCCGTAGCCACGCCCACCTGCTGCAATGCGATCTGCGCACGGGATCGCAAGGCACATTGTGCCTGTGGTCCGAACCTGTGCGGTGCAATCAAAATGCTACAAGCACTATTTTGATCGCACCGCAGAGGGCCAGGCCACAGGCACAATGTACCTTGCGATCCCGTGCGGCGGATTGCATTGCGGCCGGAGGGCATGGCTACGGCGCCATTCACTTGAATGGCCCGCCCCGCCCCCTCCTACCCCACTAAAAAGTGAGCCGGGCGCAATGCGAGGCAGTCGGTTCCACCCAAAATCGGGCCGGAACGCACTGCATCTAGTGTGACTGAGCCCTTATAGACAGTAGAAGGAATATGGTGATGTCCTCCCTCTATCTCCAGCCTGCCAATTGGGCATTGAAGGTGAAGCAGCAGACTGATGAGTTCCTCTCTCTGCTCTCTCCTATCAGAATGTCCTTTGCGAGCACATTTGCATGCAACAGTACAGGGACTGCAAGTGGCTGATACCAAGTCAAGCTGATGTACTTATACTAGTATACTGCTATGTAATGATGTATTAATGAGTACAGAGCTCCATTAATGTTTGTCTTTATGTCTGTCTGGAGTTCACCTTTAAGCCAGCCTGTGTGATTGCTGCAGTGTGTCTCTCTCCTGTCAACTCATTAGCCCACTATGGGCTGACTCTGTAAATGTACTCCTGTGACTGACCCCCCAAAAGTTTTGGATTTGCTTCTCTTGTAACCTTTTGAAATGAAACGAGATTTGAGTGATCGGTTTTATATATCCTCAGCCAGAGAGTCTACATACTGCAAGTAATAAACGGCAATTAAACTGTGCTGACACTAGCTGTAGACATTCCAGGCATCTCACACACACAATTATGGATTAAACTCTGAACAGGTTCCTCCATACAAGTCCAGGGCGAGGTTACCGATGCCTCCCTTCTCGGTGATGTCACACAGCCATATTCCAGGATCTTGGTGCAGGCTTGGCATCCGGTATACACAGGCCAGGGACAATGTAACGGGTGGCAGAGCTCTGTGTACATGACTAACCCTTTAAACATCACAGCTTGTCAGGACAGACATAATTACATGGAAGGAACAATGGGAAGGAGATATCAGGTGACCCATAGCAATCAATCAGCTTTGCTTTTACAATTAAAGCTTTATCGACTACTATGGAGAACACAGACCGTCCTTTTTACAGAGATTCGGACTATAGTGTTGCCGGCTCACACTGTCATCATACCTAAGGAAGGCAAAGTGACAGTCTCTGCAAAGGGCCCCCCAGACCAACCTGTACTCATCTTACTTACGTTCTCCCACCACTCCTGTTATACAGGTCATAATGGCTTAAAATACTTTAAGCTGGTCACACAGTGAATTCATTTTGACAATTTCCTGCTGACTTGGCTGAAATTCGAGCAGTGTGTGGCCCCCGTCAGCACCCCACCATTCAACAAAACCTGTTTTTTTCCCCAATCGACTTTTGTCAAAGGAGCCAGTCTGAAAATTTTCTGCAGCCAATCAGCTACAGTCACTGTTCAGGTATTCTGATCCTGGGGGGGGGGGGGAGGGGGGGGATCTCTCCATCCAGTGTATGTATGGGGAGTGCATAATGTATGGGCAGCTTAGATAAGAACTCCGGGGGAGAGTTTTTATTAACCTGTGCAGTGGTGCTGCAAGGGTTAAGTGCTCATTTTGGTCTCTGAAGGAAAATAAAATGAACATTTACAAAGCGGTTCACTTCTGCTTTAAATCAGAACTCCGGAGAAATGTGTAATTAACCCTGTCAGTGGAGATACCCCCGCACTGCAAGGGTTAAGTGCCCGTTTTGGTCTAGAGAGGAAAATAATTAAGTTCTACTCAACCAATCCTCAGAGCCATCTGGCTGTCACAGGGCCCCCTCCAGCCTCTTTCTCCCTCTGCTGCAGAGATGGTATGTCTCTTGTGTCCTCGGGTATTATACACTGTGTATAGAACATGAGGCTCAGGGACCTTAGACCGCTGCAGTGGAGGGGGAGAGAGGGTCCAGGGACTGGTCTAACAGCAAGACGGCTCTGGGGATCAGGTGAGTATAACTTTTTTTTTGCCCGTAATGTGTCAGTATACAATGTATATTACCTTACAAGTGTACCAGTGCTGGCCGGTCACCCCTTGGTCCTAAGCTCTGTCCCCCCACCACTGACACTGCCGGGTGTTCTCAGAAGTCCTCTTTGGCCATTGAGTGGTCACCGATGATGTAACTCTTGCACATGCGGACAGGAGTTACATCTTCCCGCCACCTGCCCTATTCACAGGACTGGGTACACCGCTGTTAGACTATAACAGCCCGCTGGGGGGATCCCTCCATAAATGCTGAGCCCTAGTGTATGTATGGGGGAATGCATAACGTATGGCCAGCTTAGAGAAGAACTCCAGGGGGGAAGTTTTTATTAACCCGTGCAGTGGGGCTTCACAGCATCATGGAGATCTCATGAATGGGCTTAGTGTGTACTACAAAAACAAATTGCTGGGGGAGAGAGGAGGTTTTCTTTTTGGTAGGAGAGGCCGTGTATGTCTCTTCTACCATAAATCCCGACCTCCCGGGAATTTTCTGTTTTATTGACTTCACTTCTGCTTAAAGTTACTAATCAGCAAATGTGCAGAGATCAGGAGTTCAGACTTCACCTGATGTGTACTTGTTGTGGCTCAGTGTACACTAGCAGAGAAAAGTGCTGGCAGGCAGGGAGAAGTATCGATGACAGCAGAGACGTAGACAGTCTGAACGGTCATACAAAAGCCTGCTTGGTAGCACAATCGCCCACCCCCCCCTCACCCGAAAAAACTTTAGTGCACCACGGCTCTGTAAATCCAGCCGTATACTCTCCAGCGGCATGCGTCTGCTATCTCACTCCCCCCCGCCCCCCCAATCGGATGGGAGGGACACTGTTGTGTGTGTCTGATGCACTCCAACCCCTTTGCCACTCTCATGTCCTGGAGTGATGTAAGTCAGCGGATGAAACCCCCTGCACACTGTGGTTCCTTCCTCCGACCCCTTTGCCACCGTCATGTCCTGGAGTGATGCAAGTCAGTGGATGAAACCACAGCACGTGGCGGGGGACACAGACATCAGAAACACCCAGTAGTGTCTCTCTCTGGCAGCCCGTGTCCATCTTCCTCCCAATCCATTGCTACTACAGCCTTCATTATTCTCTACAGCATTTGACACTTCTGGGGCTGTGTCTTGTTGTCTGGGTCCCCTGCTCTACACCGTGGTCCCTTCCTTTGCCCCCCTGTGTCTTGCAGTGATATAGGGGGTCAGCGGATGAAACCACAGGACATGGCGGAGACCCAAACACTCAGTAGTGTCAAATCCTGTAGAGGATTGAACCATCATGACAGGAGCAGCGGCAGAGCGTAGGTAAGATTAGTACAGGGGGGTCAGAGGAGCCCTGGGTGTTTGGATCTCCATCATGTGCTGTGGTTTCATCCACTGACCCCCTATGTCATTGCAAGACACAGCAGTGACAGAAGGGAAGCAGGAAGGGACCACAGCATGCAGCAGGGGACGCAGACATCAGACAGAACCCTGAGAGAGGGCACACCTAGTAGTATCAAAGGCTGAAGAGACTCATGGAGGCCACATCACTGGATTAGAGGCAACTAGCATTATGATTTGATTACAGGTTCTCTTCAAAGAAGGGTCATTAGCTCATTCCTAAATCTGATCAGCCTTTCCAGCTATGACCCCAAAATATAAGGCACAGAGCTGCACCCCAAACCACTACCCCCACAGATCATCTTACCTCCTCTTCTCTCTCCAACCGGAAGTGATCTGGCAGCACCAGGAAGTAGCCTGCAAAAACATTCTCCTGTCTGGTTCCCATAGCAACTAGAGCCACGGCGGCAGCGTGGTGACGTCAGGCGGTTCGGGCCTTTAGGGGCTGGAGCTTCGGAGTCAGCATTTAGGGTTGGGGGCTGCAGTACGACGAGCCAAGGGGTGGGCGGGATTTGGGCCAATGTCCCACTGGAGGTGGAGAAGGGAGATGTAGGCCGGTCTCGGTGGAAGATACCGGTCTGTAGAAATTCGGTGTTTGGCTGCGCTCAGTGGTGCAGTCCCATGTTGTGGTGTAGTTCCACCTCATGACCACTAGGTGGCAGCAGAACGGACTGATAGAGTTTTTCTTTATCATTTGATAGAAACATAATATATAAATATAT